ATAATACTTTTTGTAGGATAATCTTGGTTTTCCCTTCTGAAAATTGTTCCTGGGTAAGTAAGCCTGAAGAGTAGAAAATTCTGAGTTAATTCCTCATAGCAGTTTCTTTTAATATGTAACAATGCATTCTACATTTGGCATTTAAAATCCAGGGAACACAAGCACATAGCATAGAAAATTACATGCAACTTTAGTTTTTGCTTTGGCAATACAAGCTTAGGAATGGGGCAAAGTGTTATACCACCAGGCTGGCCAGGTCACTGAAATAACTTGCTTGGAAACTGTTCTTGCTTTGTGAGGTGGGGAGGAATAAATCATAATCTGCATTACACTGAGGCTCATGCTAAGTCACCAATTACCTGATGTTTATTATGGATTTCTCTGTCTGTGCTGTAACTTAATGTAGCGCCTTTAGTTTTGATGGTCCCTCAATTATTGACATACAACTCAGCCCCTAAATTATCTGTTAACATACAAAATCACCACATGAGTAATTCCAACCTTGAAATTCTCTCAACAACTTTTCAAAATACAAATTATGTAATGAAACCACGATGTAAATTGTCTACTACATAACTGAGCGGAGTTATTGTCCCTTACTATAAGACATTGAGGCACTGGAGTGAGTCCAGAGAAGACCAGTGGAGCTGATGGAGGGTCTGGAGCACAGCTCCTGTGAGGAGTGGCTGAGGGAGCTGGGGGTGTCTAGTCTGGAAAAAAGGAGGCTCAGGGAGGACATCATTGCTTTCTACAACTGCCTGGAAGGAGGCTGCAGCTCGGTGGGGTTGGTCTTTCTGCCCATGTAACAAGCACAAGCAGAAGAGGAAACAGTCTCAAGCTGCAGCAGGGGAGGGCTAGACTGGATGCCAGGAGGAGGCTCTTCACTGGAAGGAAGCTTCACTGGAAGCGCTGCAACAGACTGCCCTGCTCTGGCAAGTGGTGGTAGCACTGACCCTGGCAATGTTAAAAAAGGTGTAGATGTGGCACTCAGGGACGTGGTTTACTGGGGGACCTGGAAGGGTCAGGTTAGCCGTTGGACTTGATGAGGTTTGAAGTCTTTTCCAACCTTAATGATTTCATGATTCCAGGTAGAGGAGCCTACAGGGAAGGAATGAAGCTGAGCTCAGGAAAAGGGGCAAGACAACTTATTCTACTGTTTGTCCTTCTGTCTCCCATTAACTTCCCATTATTTTAAATCAGCAACAAATTGATTTTCCACATATCAAGAATGTTCTGCCGTGAAAAAAACCAGGGAGCAATCTTTCTCTTGACCCATGAGCTTTCTTATTCTACTTTCCTCTCCAATCCTGCTGAATGGGTGGTGAGCATTTCACTCTTTGCCAAGGCTATCCCACCACAAGCCCAGTTATTTCATTCAAGAAAAAGTCTCCTCTTCCAAAAGGTGAGCAAAGAGAGGAATACAAAGTAATGACTTTATATATTAATTAAGGTATTTAATACCCTGACTGTCCTCTAAACCCCAGAAAATGTCATTGACAAACGGGCCTTTTGGAAAGCTGCAAGTCTGCCAAAGCAGAGCAAGTTGAAAACTCTCAGGTTTCAGGAGCTTTTGCTCCTTTTTATTCCTGGGAAAAGAAGTCAAAAGAAGTTTGTGAGCCCCTTTAAAATATACTTACTCATGCTGTATGAGATATTAGTCCCAGGAGACCCCTAGTGAAATTTAGGTTTGATTTTGCTAATCATTTGCATCTTCCAGAAGTGCTTTAAAGCTAGTGCAGAAGCTCGGGAGAGACCTTATCACTCTCTACAACTGCCTGAAAGAAGTTTGTAGAAAGGCACAGATCAGTCTCTTCTCACAGGCGACAAGCGACAGGACAAGAGGAAATGGCCTCAACCTGCACCTGGGGAGATTCAGGCTGGACATTGGGTAGAATTTCTTCTCTGAAAGGCTTGTCAAGCCCATTGGAATGGACTGCCCAGGAAGGTGGTAGAGTCATCATCAACAGAGGTATTTAAGGAAAAAATGGATGCAGCACTCATTGCCATGATCCAATTGAGAAGGTGATGTTCAGTCATAGGTTGGACTTGATGACTTTGAGATGTTTTCCAGCCTAAAAAATTGTGTGATTGATTGCATTAATTTCAAGAAGCTAACACACAGATTTGTGGGGTGGAAGACTTTTTGCTGTTAATTTACTATGAGTGAATATAGAGTGCTGTATGTTTAACCTGAAAGCATTTTTGATTGATGGATATAACAAAATTGGATTTGGACCTCAAGTCTGTGACACGAGTGAGAAACAATTCTGAGTTTTAGCAACTGTTCATTGAGTTTATGTCTAGCTGACCCTCCTTTCTGCTGGTATTATTTCAATGGATCACTCATTTCACCTGAGGTTTCCCTGCAGAGCTGTGCTCTGAGCACTTGACATGTGACACAGAGCTGAGATAAAGGCCTGGTCCCACATGGGCATCCCATTTCCCTGACACAGAGCGCTGAGTGAGATGGATTTTTCAAGGGAGCTGAACAGAATGTAGGTGGGTGGCTGGGAATAACATGTTTACCCTTCATTTCTATTTTTGTTTCTCTCCACCTCCTCTATCTGTCTGACCACCTGTTGTTGGTGTCTGCTGCATCCTATCTTCAACAGCTGCAGAGAAAGTTTTTTTAGGATACCTTTAAGGTTTGTAGGTGTACCCCAGATCTTCCAGGCCCACAGTGACAAGCAGCTCAGCAGCTGCAGGACTATTACTCTGCCAGTGAAGATGGAGTTGCTGTGGCTGTGGGGGCTCATTTGATCACCTATTTTTTGTAGAACTACAGGGGGATGACCACTTTGGGACAACATTTATTTTCCGGATTGCACTACTGCATAGCTTGTCAGAGTGTTGTGCAAAACTACTCAGAGTAGCTACAGCTGTGGAATTTGAAAGAATTTTTACTTTGAGACAGAAAATTGTCATCCTCTTAGGTTTTATGGGGCACCTGTAATAACACTATTATGCACCTCAGCTAGAGAGAAGAGAAAATTGGTATCATCACAGAGAGAAGTGAACCTCAGAAATTACTCCTCTTGAAATGCTAAAACACTTTTTTATTAATTTTTACTTTTCTTAGCTATCTTTCTCAATATTTTTTCCATGCTAACTCTATGATGACCACACTAAATAAAGCTGATCCATATATAAGAGGAAACCTATTTTTTGCTCCTTGAAGCTTAGGAATGCTTTTAAAACCATTACTCAGACCTTTTGTTGACTATTCTCTTACTTTATGTCAACACAGACCTCTTATCTGCAATCTGGGGAGTATGTACCATGTGCGTCCCCTGTGACAGCAACCTGGGGTGTGGTTCCCTGCTTTGTCAATATACACATTCCCCTCACGGATTGCGTTGCACCCCTCAGGTCACCCCTGCTTGTCAGTACTCCAAACTACTTCTGGTACATCAGGGGTGATACAAACCATTACTGCTCAGGGAGGGCAGGATTACACCATTTCTCATTTGCAGGTCTTTGGCTTTATTTATTTATATAATTTTTCTGGGGGTTGGCAGGGGACACCACCGCTGTGTAGATACTGATAAAGGAAAGATGGACATACTGTTCACGTTCTGTGTGGCCTAAAGGTTTGTTACACAAAAAAACTGCTAAGAGAAAGGTTACATTTATAACTCTATTTTGGGTATTGACAGGAGAAAATCCAGCTGGTACATATTGGGCATTTCCATAACTTTTTGAAAACACAGGCTTTTCTGCCCAGAAATGGTGCACACCATACCAGGGCCAGATGAGATTTCTGCCTTTCCAAACCAATGAATCATACACATTGCACCTCTGGTAACTGTTTTTAACCCAAACTGCTGCAGGAGCTGAAGCACGGCCCGCAACACCCCCGAGCATCAGGCCCTTTGCTGTTGCTGTAAGAGACAGATTGGAACACTTCTGCTGGAGATTTTACACAGAATTAATTGCATGTGAACCTCTCCCTGGGGAAGGGTGTGGGTGCAGCCCTGATGGCTGGTCCTGCCTGCTGGCCTCCCACCCTCCTCCACTGTGCTCCCTGCGCTGGGGTGATGCCTAAAGGCAGTACAGAATCTGAAAAATATAAAATGCAAAACCTGAGGCATCCGGGTGAGGCTGGCAGTGAGCACTTAGAGATTTGGGTCCCTCAAGATGTGAGGTCTCAAGATTTGAACGAAACTTTGCAATGGTTTGATTTTTTTTTCTCAGTTGTTAATCAGAAGCTGTAGCTGAACAGTTGTGATTAAGCAATTGCACTGTGAATGTTGCATGCTTGGCTCATCTTTTGTTTTGAGGAAAAGAGAAGACAATCCCAAGATGAATGGACTCTCTGGATGAGAGCTGCCAGGAGTGAAGTCAGCAGGACTGGGCAGTAAGTGAGGGGAGGTAATTCCAGCAGGATGACCATGACCACTGTCTCACTGACCACCAAACCCTGACCCATACCTGCAGACTAAAAGGACTGTTCTCTTGGAAAAGCAAGAGATACAGCTAGCAATAGGGTTTGAGTACTAATTAGGAGAAAAGCTGTACACCCTACAGCCAGCAAATGCTGATGCCTTTGTTTGTTAGAAGGTATAAGTACTGTGGAGGTTTGATGATCACAGAGCCAGCCTTTCATGGGTTACCTCCTGATTCCCGGCTTTGAGAAAACTGGAATAAAAGACAGAAATACAGCATCACAGAATCGTCAGGGTTGGAAGAGACTTTTGGAGATAATCCAGTCCAACACTCCTGCTGAGTCAGGGTCACCCAGACCAGGTGACACAGGAACATATCCAGGTGGGTTTTGAATGGCTCCAGAAAGGGGCACTCCATAACCTCCCCGGCAGCCTGTTCCAGTGCTCGGCCACTCTCAGGATAAGGAAGTTGTCCGGAAAGCCAAGCGGAGGCGCAAAAAGCCGCGCCGCGGCCCGTGCTCCGCCTCCGAAACCCGCCCAGGGCGTGTGAGGGGAAGGGGGCGGGGCGCCCCAGACCCCGCCCCCAGCGCCCCACCGGCCCCGCCGAGCCGCCAGGGGCCGCTGCCGCCGCTTTGCTCGCCGCTGCCGCCGAGGCCGCGGGGCCGGTGCGGAGCGCACGATGGAGGCGCCGCCGGTGACCATGATGCCCGTCACGGGCGGCACCATCAACATGATGGAGTACCTGCTCCAAGGTAGGTGACCGCGGGACCGAGCAGCGCGGGCAGCGGCGGGGGTGGGCTGGCGCCGCGCACGGGCGGGCCGGGGGCCGCTGGGGCGGGCGCGCTGCGGGGCCCAGATCGGCCTGTGCGGGAGGCGATGGTCGTGGCGCTGTCTCCGCAGGGAGCGTGCTGGACCAGAGCCTGGAGAGCCTCCTGCACCGCCTGCGCGGGCTGTGCGACAACATGGAGCCCGAGACCTTCCTGGACCACGAGATGGTGTTCCTGCTGAAGGGGCAGCAGGCCAGCCCCTTCGTGCTGCGCGCCCGGCGCTCCATGGACAAGAGCGGGATGCCCTGGCACCTGCGCTACCTGGGACAGCCCGAAATAGGCGACAAGAACCGCCACGCGCTGGTGCGCAACTGCGTGGACATCGCCACCTCCGACAACCTGACGGACTTCCTGGTGGAGATGGGCTTCCGCATGGACCACGAGTTCGTGGCCAAAGGGCACGTGTTCCGCAAGGGCATCATGAAGATCGTGGTGTACAAGATATTCCGCATACTGATGCCAGGAAACACGGAGAGCATTGAACCGCTCTCCCTCTCCTACTTGGTGGAGCTCAACGTAGTCGCACCAGCAGGGCAGGACATTGTTTCTGATGACATGAGGAACTTTGCTGAGCAGCTGAAGCCTCTAGTACACCTGGAGAAAATTGACCCCAAAAGACTGATGTGATTGAAAATCTGGGCCATTAAGGCACTGGTTTTGTGTTTCAGAAAAGGATGTTTTTCTAAAATGTTTTGTGGGCAAATCAAAACAGGGAGAAGGGAATAAAGTACAATGTATCAGTTTTCACAGTTGCAATTACTGAGTGTTTTTTTTCCTTCACGTGTGAATATGAACAAACGTGGACACTTTACCACTGTTAAAAAAAATCGGTGAATGTTAATAGCGATAGATTTCCTTCTCTTGCATGGGAGATAACTTAAAAAGCTTATTGCCTAACACTATAAAAATGTCAGGCTTACTGGAATTCATCCCACTGCTGTCTTAAGTTCTTTTAGAGCACAATTTGTGTATCCTACTGAGCAATCCAAAATTTTTCTTTTCAGTAAGAGATGAAGTTAATACCATTTAATGCAGGACGTGCTGTTTCACACAAGCATAAACACAGAAACTGCTGTATAAAAAAGCAACTAACTGTACACCACTTCACCAAAGCTTATGTGACAGGAACTGGTACTTGTTAGGGAAACTGTTTCTTCTGACGTAACCAAAGTTAGACGTGGAAGAAAATCTAGTAATATTAACCTGTACAAGTGGTTTTCACATCTTTTAATAGTGTTCCATTATTTTCACTGCAATTGGTTAGGACAGTTTTAGTTAATAAGAAAGTAAATTACCAGGTACTTTTTATTACTGGATTTCTCACAGCTGACAGCTGTGTTAAATACTGAAATGTTGAGTGCTTTACATTAAAAAATTTATTCACAATTTTTCATTAAAAATGTATTACAAACAAATTAGAAACTGCTAGTTGATTTACTGATGATTTTGCTTAGCACCCCTCTTGATAGTAGGATGGTTAATCACCCTAGTAGTGCCATGATAATTCAGTGTTATTTGAATTAGATTTGAGAATTTTCAAATACAGTTCAGTCAAATAAAGGTCAGGAGAGTTAAAGGAGCTCACACAGTGAGGCGTCACCAGCGTGACTGCTCATTACCTTGACTACAAGTATTTTCTGGTGGGTACAAACACTCCTGCAATTCTGCTCATACTTGGGGGGCAGGACTCGCCCTCACCAAAACAGCACACTATCCTGGGCCTCCAAGCTGGAATTCCTTCAAATACAGGGCATAACTTCCTAGGAGCTGTGTGTGCCAGGCTGTTCCATGGCTGAATGGCAGTCTTATCCCAGCAAATGGGAATTGTCAGGGCTGTTGTCATATTTTGCCATTCTTAGCACTGGTTAAAAATCACTAGCTACAGACTTGTACAATCTGTGGCTTATCTCCTGGCACACAAAAGTTTAGAAAGTCTTGTGGATGACAATAGGTCTAACTATCAATTGATCCAAATTAATAAATAATGAAAAGGTTTTTATTTTTACGGAGAATGAGTTTAAACCCTAAAAACTGCAGCAATCCTCAGTACCAGGCTTCCTTATGCTGGCTGTAGTCCATGCATAGAAGAGGCAGGTGTGCAGAGAGAAGAGCTTACTGCATCAATGGCTACAGCCAAGGACACTTTCAGATTGCTAATGCCCGAAGTGTGTCCCTTTCTTCTAACAAAATGTATTTTTCGCCTCCTATACAACTTAGCTTGTCAAAGGTGGAGACAGAAGATGATTAGCATTAGTAACGCTCATCAATAAATTGCGTGTCATAGCCCTAATTATCATTCATCATCCAAGGTCAAATTATATTGTAGTTACACAGCTCAGCCCCTCTTTACTGGAAAGTACGTAATTTTTTAATTAGGCACATAAGTTATGGTACCATGAATGTGAAATGAGGCTTTTTGGGGGGGGGGCGGGAATTTCTTTTTACCAGGTAAAATAGCTGCATTCTCCAAGGTCAGAAGTTACCTCAGGACTCTCTATTTTTTGCAATATATTACAAGAGGCCTGTAACAGCTGAGCTTAAGTTTTGTTCCTGTTCAAGTAATGCCTTCTGTTACTTCAAACTGTTCCTCCAGTCCTGCATACCTGTAAGGTTTCTACAATTTTCCTGACTGGTATATAAAGAAGTAGAAATCACTGCATGAGAAATAAAGGTAGGATTGTTACTGATCTATTAGGCACCACCTATTTCTACTGTTAAGAAAAGTTCTCATGGAAGCTTATCTCAGTTACTAAAAATTAATCTTATTTGGAAAAGCCGTAAGTTTATGCTTTTGCACAACTTAGTCCTGAGTTGCTGTCCTTCCTGTGGAAGCTCCCAGAATCTTGTTATTCCATACAAATGAGGAGCTGACATACTCTGGGAAGTGCTCTTTATTATGACTACACTCTACCTGGAGCACTTTTTAACACCCCTCTGATTGCTTGCACAAAATGAGCTTGTCAATGTTTGAACTAACATGGCATTCAGGTTTTCATCTTAGTGACCTCAGTAACACAAGTAAACTGCTTTCCTGTTAAATGTTTTCCATGCACTAGAATATGGTATATAACTTCATTCATGATTTAAAAGTTGGTTAAAATGTAAGGTTTCTCCAAACATTTGAAAGTTAAAAACAACAAGAACCCAAGATTTTTCTTCATAATTTTTAATACTTTTAAATTTTAAATACTGGTTTTAAATTTGTGATTGTAACATGTAAGAGCCAACTTCTTTTAATTTTTAAAACTTATCATTAGAATCATAAAGCTATTATAGAACAGTTACAACTCTACACACTCAAGGTACTCAAAAATATGATTCATGTTTTAAGTCTGTAAATGAACAGTGGCAATTCAAATACAGCATTATCTGTACAACTTGACAAAAATACAGGTGGACAATCTGATTAAAGAGAATCTGCACAACTTCAGATAAGCCAGCTCAGCCCAATTAAGTAAAAGGTAAGGTTTTTTTTCAAAGTGCATCACATTTTTCACAGATAAATTTGTCAAAGATTTTCAGGTTCTAAGACAGAATAACAATGACCATCTCATCTTCATTCCCAGTACAAGTTCTGTCAAGTCATGTCCTTCAGATCTAGTTTGGCAACATCCAAATTCTCCAAACAGATGCAGATATCCAGAGAACAATATCTGATGATAGCTGAATTTTTAGCCTTTTGAACTGGTTCAGCTTACAAAGCAACCATTCTAGAGTCAGAAGCTGCTTCTGCAAAGACAACCACAGCTGTGTTAACACTCTTGATCTGTTAACAGGAGGAAATAACTCACAGTGCACAGACCTGGCAGTGAATGACAAGAGGGATGGGCTCAAGAGACAGGGTAAATTGTACAAAACCATAAAAGCAACATCTCTTCCAAAAGGAAGGATATAATGGCTACTCACACAAGGACAATATATGAGAGGCTTACTGCCTTTTGAGATTACTTTTTCAGAGGTCCATTAATAATGATTTCTAAGTCATGTAACTCCTTCCATAGTCTTTAAAAAGCCTCTTACAAATCCGATTGGGCAGGGCTAGCTACAGTGAAGTACCAGTGCCTTTATCTAAAAGTAAAACATACTCTTTACAAATAGGATCTGTAGTGTCGTTTTATTTACAGAATAAATTGCAAAAGTACATCACATTTAGTGCAAATGCAACTAATGATATAAGTTTATATACTGCTTTGTAAACTTTCCATACCTTTGTAAAATAAAGCTATTCTATTAAATTAATAAACTTGCCCGTGCTCCAACAATTACCAGAAATGGCAAATAAGGAGTTAAACTCTTTATATTTTGGACTTTTTTTTTTAAGTTCCCATCAGTGGCTATGGTGGAATGTACCACTGCCTGGTTGATTGTAAAAAGATGACGTACATTTTGAGGTATAAGATTTTGTTTTTTAACGTCAGTATATAAAATGCTCACTGGTGATATAGTAAAGATGTACAAATTTTCATCTTATTTGCCTTGCTAACATTACCATATAGGCACTTTTCTACATATTCAAATGGACAGAATAACTCTGTAATAAGGCATATTCCATGCACACCATTAGAGAAAGGCAAATAAAAAGGGAAGAGTTGTGGAGCATGAAATCTGCATGCGTGTGTAATCATGTGTTAGGTTTGGTTTCACCTCTACAGAGAAGATGAACAGAGAAGTTTTTTACACTGTGCAGATCATATTTACGCATTTACCAAATCTTCACTAAGTTACTGTGTATCTCTTTTCAGGCACCTAGCACACTATATGACATAAATTTGACTTTCAGCTTTCTTTTAAAGACAATATATCTGCAACTTTTTTCCTTAAGATACTCAGTTCAGTGAAACACCGAGCAGTTTCTGAGGAGTTTCCAACTATAGGACATGGATAAAAGACCTCACAGTCTGTACTAGCCCAACACAGTCCTTTCTTAACAAGTATCTCCAGAATCAAAGGCAGGCAAACACCTGACATTTAAATTTTCACAGCAGCTAAAGGGAACTTTCCAGTAAGAACTATGCATTCCTGTATCTCTGATGGGTGTTTGATCAAGAGGCAAATAATTTTCTACATGAACCTCATAGCACAGCTTTATTGAGATGAGGAAAACACATGCAGAATCTGAAAATAATGTACTCATCCTCAATCTAGACTGGGAATGTTGTTTTATATAACCCAAATTATTTCAATAAATATTATGGTGTACCTTCTCACAGCTTTGGGAAAGCCCCAGATATCATCCAAGAAAGCAGTCCACAGATAGCATGGACAGATGTCTCCTAGGGTTTAGGCAGTCTCTTGCCCTCTCATACAGAATCTTTCTAGGTATTTCTAGATCATGTTTAATAACAGAAATTATGCAGCACATATTACATAACTAAAAAATACAATAGAAATATAAAGATATCTGGAAAAAATAAAGCTTTTCACACTCTTACTCCTTCAGAACTGAAGATCGTCATAAGAGTAAGACAATAGAAAAGGCAAAGTCATTAAGGATATTGACAGCCCTCAGATATTAACTGGCATTTTATGTAACAAGATGATTCATTATAGAAACCAGCAGTAATGAACTGTGATTATACAAAGCAAAACAAAACCTGCCAACAAGTTACCTAGGTTTTACTGAAGCCACTCCTTTCAACACCCCCAAAATACCACACAGATTTTTGTGCATATAAAGCACATACAGTATGCTATATGTGCATTTGTCTCTTGTGCTTTTTACACATGCACAGAAACTGCGTAAGTATCTTAGGAAG